TTAATAATTAATCAATCTGTTTATTATGTATTTTTATTTAAACAAGGTTGAATATTATTTGCTTTACAATTATGAAAATTTAGAAGATATACATGTTGTATACAGCCATCCCGAGGTTGGTATTTATTTAATTTCTACAATTCGAGGAAAATATGATAATTGATTATTTTTAATCTTTTAAGGCCTTTAAAGAATGTAAAGATTGGCTTGCCGAAAATCTTCCAAAAGTAAAGAAAAAGGAGGCAAAATCAACAAGCGAAGCAGCGCGGTTAGCATCCCAAGAACCAAACGCAGCGGCTATATCTAGTAAAGAATGTGCCAAAAAATATGGGTATGGGAAAAGTATGGAAGCAGAAAAAGACAAAACTCGCTTTTTGGTGTTGGGCAAACCTCTCGATGAAGTAGAAAGTGATAAACAAAAAATCTTAGTTTTAGTTAAAAAAACGGAGTCAGGAGAAGGAGAGTTTCCTCCTGCTCTCAAAAAGCTTCTCGATGAATATGAAATTGAAAAGAAACTTATTTCTAGTTCTTTCTTTTTCTTTGAGTTAGAGGGACAGGAAAATAAGGAAAAAGAAATTTTAGAAAATTACAGCCCGAAATAATTACTAAAATTCAAATTTTAAGCATGTTTTTCTTATAATTTTCTTTTTGTATTCTCTTACTAAAAAATAAAATCGTGTCTATCAGGAACAAAATATGTTTTTTTTAAGATCGAAGTTTTCATATGCATGGTTGCTAAAATAGTAATGTAGGATAATTAATAACCCTACAAATAATTGCAAAAAAAATAAAGTTATAATCCATTACGAGACTAAGAAAATTGTGTTTGTGAACCATCCCGCTTGTAGAAGAAAGAGATTTCTTGATAAAAATTTATTTATATGCATATATATGGTATATACATAGTCGAAAACGATACAGATTGAGGATTTAACAATAATAAAAATGCAGAATTGTTTATTATTGTTGTCTTGTTTTTGTTAAACTATTGTATTGAGACCATACAATTGAAAAATCCTTATATTTATTTGAAATAGATATCTTAATGAACATAAAAAATTCCCCACTGGGAAAATTCATAATAAAAGATAAACTAATAAAAACTTTTTCATAATCATTATTCTTATTATTCTTATTTGTAGATCAGCATATTTGAAAACGGTATATTCATTTAGAAAAAACAAAAAAAGTTAGAATTGATGGAGTGCGTCTTCGATCAATTTTACTACCTTTAGAGCACAACCATAACTGCTTTGGTAGCCTAAAGTACAAGAATTAAATTAGTTTTTTTTCAAAAATTGTTCAAAAAGTGATTTCGCTGTCAATACTTTCCTCCTCCTCCGTGTCCATAATTATGGCAAATCCGAACTTGCTCTTCTCCAAACTCTTTTTGTTGTAAAAAAAGAAAGAAAAAAAATCAATTAAGGCTAAAAAAAATTATTAATTATTAGAAAGTAACTACTTACTCATCAGTTCAATTTCAACTCTAACTCCGTCTTTTCTTGCTGGTCTAAAACCAACAGAACTTTTTTTTTCGAGTTCTTCCTTAGGGAGGAACAAATCGGGTCTTGTGGTAATACATCTTTCGATTATTTTTTCTGCTGTTTCATCGTTAGGAACCGCCGAACTTCTCGAAAGTTAAAATAATGAAAAACATATTTCTTTAAGTAGCAAAAATAAGTAAACTTACAGATTTTCAAACTCCTTAATCGCAAATTCATCCTTAATGATAGCAAATAAAATTTTAGCAAAAAAATAATCTTAGAAAATTTTTCTAAATATTACTCACATAAGTGCCGCCCAAAACAACTGTGCCATCATTTCGTGGAATGCAGTAAGTATCTTTTTTATTTCCTTTTCTAATTACGCTAAAAGATACTGGTAAACTTTCTTTGGTGTGAGGAGACGATTTTGCAATAACGATTTGTCCCCTAATTGGGTAAACATCAGGGTCTTTAGCGTCGGTTAAAAATGCTGAACCCAATCCAGAACAGTTTACTATGGCAACTGCATTTTTTTCGAACAACTCTTCAAGTTTGAATATTCTTTTTTGTTCGCAAGTTCCTCCCATAGATTTAAACTTTTCAAATAAGTATTTAAGATACTGGTTAGGGTTAATGGTTACTGTAAAATTAATTTACGATTAGCAAAAAATAGTTTTTTATGTGCGAGGAAATGGCAAAAAAAGTTTGAAATGATTTTTAATACCGCTCGGATGAGTAAAGGCAAAACCAAAATTTTCTGACAAATCTTCTTTTTCGACGTGACGAAACTTCAATTCAAGCCCTTTTGCCTCGTCAGAGTCAAATATTCCTTTTTTATACCAAAGAGGATTATAATCATTTTTGTCTTCATAATATTGGAAGTAATCTACTTTCATAATTCCAGTTTCTTGTTGTTGTTCAGATAGTTTCCGAAAGTAAAAAAATGTTTGTTTGTCATATTCTAAAAAATAATGTATATTAATATTTGAGTTCGTTTTTTTTATTTAACGACAGAAAGGATAAAAAAAAGGTTGCCTTGCTGTTCAATATCTCCAACAGAAGCAAAACTTTTCCAATCCGCTCCTGCTCTAATGATTATTTTTTTGATTAATTTTCAGTAAAGAAAAATTCAAACGAATTAAAAAATACTAACTGAGGACTGGCATAGAATTCAAATTCTACATCGTTAGGAAAGTATTCGGCAACAATTTTTACTTCGAAACCTTCTTCTAGAAGAAGAACGGCAGTTGTCAAACCACTAACGCCGGCACCAAGTACGATAATCTTTTTTGAAGCCATCATAAAAATGGTTTTGGCAAAGAAAAGATTAAAAAACAAAAACGTACGAAGAGAATTTAACGGCAGTTAAATACAAATTTAATTTTGATAGCATATAAACATAGAATGGTTTGATTAATGTTGATATACATGTTGTACTAAAATGTAACACATCCTAACTGTTTTTTTGCCCTTGCCGTTTTTAGTTAAGATTAAACAGATAGAAATCTTTGAAAGAATAATGTAAGGTTTAACAAAATTGCGTAATGGATGGCGTAATCTTTCCAAGAAACTGATAGAAATTTTTAGAAAAAAATTATTAATTTTGGCGTAATTTCAAAATAAACTTGTTCCCCTAGAAAGGCAAAATTAAAAAAAAGATAAATCAGATTAGATGAGTGGCAAAACACAAACCATTTTTAAAAAACGCCAAACGCCTAAATTTGCTTTAATTTTTCCTTAACGCCAATTTTCTATTTAAGGTCAAATTTAAAATCAAAAACAATCGTTATCAAATTTCAATCAGTAAAATATCCTTATTTTTGTTCCTTTGTGTTATGCAATCGCTTTATTGGTATTTATGATAACGAATAAAAATTTTCATTCACTAAAAAATGGAGAATAACGAAGTAAAACATGCTATTTTTGACCTCGACGGTTTGTCTTTTCTAGAAAATATTTTCTCTTTTTCTTGGGTGGGGAAAAGTTAAAAGTTTGCTGAACTAATTTAATTTTGTCAATTTAGGAACCTTGTTGGTGAGTTTAGCCGATCAAAATGTATCAATACTTTTTTAATAATTCACCAATTTTGCAGGATACGGAAACGATTTATTACGAAATTTTAAGTATGTATTTTTATTCCCATAAAAAAAGTATAAAAGTTTTGTTAATTAAACATCGAATAATTTGCTTTTTTAGCCACTCTTTTTGAAGAATTTGGGTCGAATTATTCTTGGGAAATTCATAGTAAGCAAGCGGATTCTACTCGGGATGAGGTAAGTTTTTTTTGTATACTTTCTTCTTTTTACTTTTAGTTCTAAACTTACAAAACAAATTCGTTTAATACTTTTCTAGTCTAATCGTATATTAATTAGAGAAATAAATCAGCAAAGAGAAAGACAAAGTAAAGAACCTTTATCAGAAAAGGAAATCGAAGAATTTAAAGAATTTCGCGAAAAAAATAAGGAAACTTTTTCTTCAGTTAAATTCATGATCAATGCTGAGGATTTAGTAAAATATTTTTCAAGCAACAACATTAATATTGCTGTAAGCATTAGTTTATTTTTTTTTATGCAAAATTTTATTTACTAAATTATTAAAACTAAGTATTTTTTTAATTAATAGTTGGCCACCAGTTCGAGACGTAAAAATTATTCTCTCAAAACCGAAAATAAGGAATTATTTAAACTATTCGGTGACAATGTTGTGTGTGGAAATGAGGTAGGAAAAAGCAAACCAGAACCCGATATATTTATTGCCGCTTTGAGGAAAATGTTAGGAGCAGACGCTTCAAAAGAAGCAGATTCTAGTCTTTTCGCTAAATGTTTGGTTTTTGAGAACTCCGTTCAAGGAGTTAAGGCGGCTCTGGCGGCAGGAATGAAAGTAAGTTTCTTTTTTAATGGATAAAATTAAATTACGTAAAATTCATCACTTTGTTTTTTTTAGGTGGTTTGGGTTCAAGATCCAAGAATGAATTACGATGAAAAAAATAGTGAAAGTTACAACAAACGCGGGGTTGTAATTATTTCTTCTTTAAAAGAGTTTAAACCAAAAGTTTTCGGCATGCCAGATTTTACTAAAAATTTTTAAGTTAAACTATGTATATTTATCCACTCTTCCCTGCTTGAAAAATTCGGGAAGATTATTGCTTGCTAAAGTTTATTTATTTAAAAATACAAATATACTACGTATATTGTAAGATTGTCCGCAGCAGTAGTAAAAAAAAAAACTGGAGTAAATAATCTGCTTTTTTAATATTATTTTTTTGTTGTGCTCGGATCAGAGTCTTGTTTTTTTACAAAGTTAGATCAATTTTTTATCTTTTTCTGTTTAAAAGCAGTCTTATCGTAAAAACAGAGACACCAAACTGTTTTGTTTTAATAACGGAAACACTTGAAAGGAAATGGCTTTCCTAATAAGAAAAAAGCGGTTTAAATGAAATTATTTTTGTTCTTTTGATAGTGGTAAGAATAAACATAACTAACAATTTTGTGAAGCGAGAGAAAATTGTTATGAACAAGCAAAAACCCAAAATATCAAAATCTTTTAAAATTACATTATGGATTACTATAAAATTTTAGGATTACACAGTAGTGCATCTGCTAAGCAAATTGAAGAAGCCTATAAAAAAATTGTTGAAAAGAAGAGAAGAAATAAAAATTATTTTGTACTTGAAAAAAGAACGCAAGAGTATGAACTGGCTCATAGCATCCTATCTAATACAAAATTGAGAAGTGAATATGATCGACAAGTAATGAAAATTGTTAATCCCAACTATGAACGGCCAGTTTACAAAAAAGCCCGAGAAAACTTAAAAAAAATACTATCTACAATAAAATTAGACGAGAATTGAGTAATAACTTCGCCCAGAACTCTTGATAAGGTTGCTAAACTTTTACAAGAATTAGAAAAATACCAAAATGCTGCTGATGGGACGCCAGAAGCCGCTGCTTATACAGAAGAGAATATTTCCTGGGACAAGTCAGGAGAAATAATTTATAGAGGAAAATTAGACAATTTTATTTTTGAACTGAAAGGGTTAAACGAATTATTAGAAAAAAAATTAAAAAATAAAGAATTAAAAAAACGTAAAAAAGAAATTATTACTAAAATTAATTACCATAAGGAAAACTTCTCCAAAGATTTTATTAAAAACTATAAAAAAGACTTCGCTGGAATAACTAATGAAGAAAAACTTAATGAGTACTACAATAAACATATTCTGAACCGACTGGGTTCAGTTCCGATGGATGTCAACTATCAGCAAGTGGATATAAATATGGATAACATGGATATTGATCACGAGGCAGATATTGACAATAAAAAAAGAGAATACAGAGAACTAGAAAAGGAAAAAAATGAAATAATAGAAAAAATTAAGGTAGTAAAAAAAGAGATAAAAAGATTGGAAAAAGAGTGGATAAACCAATATAAATCACTTTTAGCAAAAAAAGGCAAGGTGTAATTTTTGTAAACTCGTTTGATGCAGCAAACAAGCCGTAAAATGACATGTTTTATCAGGCAAATTAGGGATTAGCATTTTGATAGTGTATTAGATTGTCATCTAAATGAATGTTTTCAAAAAAGTTTTAAAATATAAATATATGGAGCAGATCGAAGTCATTAACCATAAAGGGGAAATAGTAAGCAAGCAGCCACTTAATAATAAAATTTGGAAATCTCAATTTTCTCGTTGAAATATTTCTTTGGCTAATCGTTATTATACTTTTAATCAACACCAAAAAACGCATAAGACCAAAACGAAAGGGGAGGTAGAGGGCGTTGATGAAAAACCGCATCCCCAGAAAGGAACCGGACGAGCACGTTCTGGTTCGCCTTACAACCCTCAAAATCGGGGAGGGGGGATAACCTTTGGACCAACGGGTCAAGAAAGTCGTTCTTTGGATATTAATAAAAAATTCAAGCAAAGTGTCTTTCAATCGCTTTTGGGAGAAAAAATGAGAAAAAAAGAGATAATAATTGTGGATAAAATAGCGTTTGCTAATTACAAAACCAAAGAGGCTGAAAAATTCCTTGTCTTTTTGCCAGTTAAAAAGACCTCAATTCTGCTTGTGCTATCCAACGAGGAAGAAAATAAAGAAAAAATAATTTATTCTTTTCGTAATCTGTCTTATGCCAAGGTTAGCGATAGTAAATTGGTCAATTTCTCGCAAGTATTATCTTCTAATTATCTCGTTTTTACCCATTCGGCTTTTTCGGAAGTAGAAAAAAGATTGGGTTAATTAAACTCATAAAATTAAAATTATGTTTGGCTGGTTAAAAAGATTCCTGCAATGACCGGAAGGAGGCATTAAAAATATTAGCGATTTGGGTAATTATATTAAGGATTATTGATGGAAATTATTAATTTTCATAATTGTTCTTATCGTTGTGATTTGGGTAATAGTAAAAATTCTAAAGATGATTATTTCTTTAAGAAGAGGTAAATAATTTTCAGCATTAACTATTATTTTTTTGTTAAAAAAAAAAGAATATTAATTTTTGGTTCCTAAATGATTTGCTGAAAATTATTTAACTTTTGGTAGGACTAGGTGGATTCGAACCACCGGCCTCACCGTTATCGGCGGTGTGCGCTAACCAACTGCGCTATAGTCCCATATTTTTTATTTAAGCATTTCGCTACTTTCAGGAAATTTTTCTCTATATTCTTGAAAAAAGTTTTTTAATTCTTTTAAAGCAGTTTCACTCTCGATTGAGAAATACCAATAGCTATTACCAACTCCATGTTCTTTTTCACTATAACGGATACCATACTTATCCAACAGGCTTTCTAAGATTTGAGAAATTTCCTGAGGGCTTTTGAAATATCAATAAACATTGATTTTTCTAGTTTTAGGAATCAAAGAAACTATTTTTTTGCCCGTGGATTTGTCATAAAACCTAATCCTATGAAGATTTCCCTTTTTCCAATCACTCCTTTCTAATGGTTTAAGGGAGAAAATAGAATTCTCTACTTCCGCTAACCACTTTTCTGCTTCATCCGAAATATTGGCATTAGTTTGACTTGTGCCACCTGAAAGTTTGCCCTTCTCTTTGATGTCTTTTCTGTTAGAAGCAATGGTTAACCATTCTGGTAAATTACTAGTATCAATATACAAAATTTTTCTATCGTCGTAAAATTTTATTTCTATTATTTTTATATTCTCATCCTTTTGCTCGTCAGGTCGTTGGTGGTGTCGTAGTCTTTTGTGAACTTCGGTAGCAATACAAATTCCTTTGGTTTCTTTTCAAAGAATGTCTTTATAATCTCATTTTTGAGACTTTTCTTTATCTCTTAAAATACTTATTAATTCGTGTTCGTTATGAATACATTCAGGATTTTTAGTGTCTTTCAAGCAACTTATATACTCTGCTGCTTGCTCATACAATTCAAGCGATTCGTCTCGTTTATATTCAATAACAACAAAATACCTGCCGCTTTTGCTGAGAGCCAATGAGTCTGTCTTACAGTCTTTTTCGCCAGTATCAGGATTTATTAAATAATGTTCTTCTGTTAAATATGTCAAATCAAAAATTTCTGCTAAATTTTCTTTAAAAAGATTTTGGATATATTTTTCTTTTATCCCCTCTTCTCTTAAAACTGTCTCTTCTAACTTTCTCGGAGTTGCTTCAAGACTGTATAAGAGAAATTTTGGTTTTCCCTTCGCCATATATTATTTATTTTTCAGTATTTTTAACATTAGTATAGAAACCACTATTTGCTAATTGTTTCTCTAATTCATGATAATAATCAATTTCTTCTTTGGCTATTAGTCGACAAGGAATTAAAGATTTTCAAAAATGTTTTTCTTCTTCAATCACTAATTCTAATTTTTTTTTCTCAACAATTTCTTTTATTCTTGTCATTTCCTTTTTGTCTGGAGAAATCAATTCTCTTTTTTTTTCATCATAATTTGTTTTTTCTCAAATTTCATTTGGCAAATAAGTAAGTAAATATTCTTCTAAATTATTGTCATTGCCCTTTAAATTAATTTTAAGGCTATATAACGGTTGAAAATAATTCGGCAAGGAGACGGGAGTTAGAGATTTTAATTGTAATTTTTTGACTAAATCAGCCGGAATATTTTTGCCCCCTTCTAAATAAATTAAAATGCCAAAAGGAGCCTGGAACAAAGCCCGAGTAGAACGACTTTCCGCTGTGCTATTCTTGAATTTTTCTCAAATCTGATAAACTTTTTCTTTAGGAAAACTGTGTTCTCGGGCAATGACAAACGCTTCTTTCGGAATTTCTTTTTTGTGTCTAATCAGAAGTTCAATTTCTCTTCTGGCTGTCTGGTGTTCCCGACTCCGAAGTTCCGATTGACGGTCTTTTCTTCATTTTTTATTTTTGGCTGCAGAATGTCCTGCCATAAACTATTTTTTACGAGATTTTTTGCGTTTTGTTAAGAAAAGCAAAAAAAATGAAATTAGAATTATAAATCCTAAAAACGAAAATAACAAAATATTTATTAGAAGGGACGAAGAATTGGGGTTTTGGTTTTGAGTGGTCAAATCCTCTTGTAGAATATTTTCTGGGATAACCAAAGTATTATCAAAAAGGTTTTTTTCAAAATAAGCCTTATTAGGAGAACGAAATTTTAAGGTTAAATCTTGATCTTTTTCAATACAATTAGCAATGAGAGAATGAAGTTTATCAATATTTTTGCCTCTTAAATCAATTTCATTAATGTTTATGTTAAAGTTTTGGATTTCGTCCTGCACGGAATAAGAGGAAGCCAGTTTTAGACGAATATTTTCATTAGATTTTCAGGTAATTTCTGCCGGTTTCATTTTCAAAGTGGAGTGGGGAAAATGAAGGAGTTCTAAATAAATATTTCCGTCTGCATCGTCCAAAGTAAGTTCGTCATTATAGCCGGTCATGGAAAATCCTTTATTATTGTCCGGAACACACAAATGTCAGTAAGTTTCTATTGGGGAATGAGTACTCGCACTCTCTTCGCCCACATCACGGAAAAATTGTCCTTTTTGTTGCTGGGTCTTGACTTTTAACTGTTTATATTTTCAAAATGAGTAATTTCTGCCATCAAGCGAGAAAGGAAAACGAAGCGGAGTTTCTAAATCAAACCGAAACTCCATTTCCTCCCTCCCATCATTATATTTTGTTCTACTGCTACCACTCTCCTTAACATTAAAAAGATATTTAGCCATTCTAACGTTTGTGAAATCTTTTGCCTTTGTTAGCCTTTTTAGAACCAACCACTTTTCTCCATACTCTCCGGGGGTCTCGCGTTAGCAGAGAAAAATTTTTCAAAGTAATTTTATACTCTGGGGAAACTTTTAATAGCGCCCGAGCCAATGCTAATCTAATTGCCCCGGCTTGACTTTGCGAACCGCTACCTTTTACTCGAGCAAAAAAGTCAAAATCATTTTCCTTGTTAAACAATTTGAGCGGCCGAAGGATATCCTCGCAAAGAGAAGGTTCCATATAAAAATAATCGTGAAGACTCTTTTCTTTTCCGTTGCTGGTTCTGATCCGGGCTTGCCCGGTACCTTCTTTTAAATAAACTCTTGCGTTTGCTTCTTTACGGCGTCCTAATCCATTGTAATTATCGTTCATGTATAATTTTCTTTATTTATATATTATAATTTTTAAGGATAAATTATTCGTGCCTGTTTTTTTTAGTAGATTTTTTTCGTTTTTTCAAAGCTCTGCTTGTCAGCATTATAATTAGGGTTGTTACGGCCACAATCACAACAGCAATCATTATTGGTTGAGAATAGTCGGATTTATTTTTTTGATTTTTGTTGTTTTCAACGGGATTTTTCCCTCTTTCGTTATTGTCCGGTGAATCGGAGTTTCCCCGGCTTTGCTTAATGCTGGTTCGAGCCGATTTTACGGCGACGAAGTTCTGGCTGTTATCGATTGGCGAGTATTCCCCGTCTGCTTGGGTGGCTCCTAATTCTTGTTTGACTTTTGCTTTGAATTGAGCCAAAATACGTTGATAGGCTTCTTTTTCCTGGTTTTCAATCGCTTCTTGGGTTGTGTGTTCTTTGATGGTCGTTGGAAAGTTTTTTCAAGGGTCATCAGTCGCCAGTTGAAGATTTTCGGCCTCAGCTAATCAATTAGCAAAATTACGAATGGCATTGTTTCAATAATTTTCTAGTTTTGTCTCCTCACTCAAATTATTTCAGCGGTCTCGCAATTCACTCAACAATGCATCAACCTCATTTTGGCGAGCAAAGTAAGCATTTTTTTCCTCCTCGGAAACTGCTGACGAAGCAAAATTTTCTAATCCTTTAATGAAACTTCACAAATCACTATCCGTACAGGTTTTAGCCTGGCTCAACAATTCACTCAATTTTTTTGTGGCTCGGTGATTTTTAATAGCCGCAATAAGGTCATTTTTAATGGCTTCTAATTCATTGAGAGCCAAATTTTCGTAATCATGGAATTTACTATCCAGTTCGGTGATATTCACTGGCGGGGAATTGTCTAATTCGGCCTTTATCTCAGCAACCAGCAATTTTGCTCTCTCTCTCTCTCTCTCTCTCTCTCTCTCTCTCTCTCTCTCTCTCTCTCTGTTATTATCATTGCTTTTTATTTCTGCTATTTTTGTTTTGGCAGCATTAAGGACAGAATCGAAAAGAGAGGGATTTCTAGTTTTTCTAATTTCGTCATTATAACCTTGTTGTTGGCTATGACTGAGTAAGTTTCAACCATCCAATTTTTCTAACTTGTTTTTAATGAAATC